ATGGACGCACTTTCGCGACGCCATGAAGACGTTCTTCAACATTCCGTCGGTGCTATTTAAATTGTGATGAAACCCATTTCCATTTATCGTATTGTAAATAAACAAATTTCCATTACTGGGTACAGAAAACCCTCAAGAAATTTATCAACGACTACTTCACAGCCATTATGTGACAATTTGTGTGCTGTTGCTGAATTTAGGTCCGTATTTTTTCGAAGGAAATGGGCAAAAGTTACAGTTAATGCGAATCGCTATTGTAACATGATTGAGACCTTCCTCCGATCAAACTAATCAGTTTACTAGGAACCACGAAGAAGTCTGGTTCCAACAAGATGGAACCACAGTTTCACGGCATTCACTAACCATTTTGAGAGATGTTTCCAGGATATCTACTGTCTTTACGAGGAGACATTACCTGGCCACCAAGGTCCCGATTTATCACCTTGTAATTTTTGGGGACATTTAAAGGCCCGTTTCAAACCTTTAGGATCACGGTCCCCAGAAGCGAAAGCTTTTATACAAACAGTTGGTATCACCGACCATCTGTTTCCAAGTGATCCAGTGAACACTGGATTTAACTTCGATCTTATATTTAAGATCTCCAAAGTTTTATCACGCGTTAAAACTTTCAAAGTTACTGATGTAACTTTTTCCACACTGGCTGAAATAGGATCAGTGTCCCAACTCGTGTTGACTAAGCCATTAATAATACAATTTGTTCTGTTAAATTGTTTACTTATTTGTAATTGCCTTTTAAAATATGGGAGGTCATTTTGCCGGACCTGTACCTCGACGTATGTTGACAGCAGCTTAAAAAAAAAACCCAGAAAACGGGTGTTAGCGATTTAAAAATTATTAAACCAGTACACAGTACTATTCTCTCTCGACAAATTAGAATGTACCAATATTTATCCTCGGAGGATTGTCCATTCAGGTCACTAAAGTATATTTATCTAATTAATGATAAAATAATTCTTTATATAACGCTATGTCCTACGTGAACGCGAAATCACGAAATCAAAAAAAAATATTGAATTAACAGAAATTGAAACCAATGAAATTAATAAGTCTTTAATTAAAATGATAGTTTTTGATTATCAGCCACTCTCGATAGTAGAGAACGCTGGATTCTTAGAGTATACTAAAAAGTTACAACCTCTATATTCTGTCCCCAGTAGAAAACAACTTACAACCAAATTATTACCACAAGAATATGATATTATACACTACAAATTAAAATCTATGCTTGAAACAATAACTGATTTATCTATCACTACCGATATGTGGACATCGGATTGTAATAAATCGTATATAACTGTGACTTGTCATTTTATATTTGAAAATCACTTATATTCACCAGTACTTGCTACTCGGGAAGTTTTTGATAGTCATACTGGTATAAATATAGCAACTACTCTGAAAAATATTTTTAATGAATGGGACATAGCAGATAAAATAGTAACTATAGTATCTGATAATGGGTCCAACATAAAAAATGCTATAAACGAACATCTGCTCAAATATCATCATCCGTGCGTAGCACATACATTGAATTTAAGTATTAATGAGGCAATAAATGGAAATTTAGATATTATTCAAATTTTGAAAAAATGTAGGACCATAGTAGGTCACTTTAAGCACAGCTCTCATGCTACTGGTAAACTTAGAGAATTTCAATTACAAATGAACCTACCAATATTAAAAGTGAAACAAGATGTTGTAACTCGATGGAATTCGAGTTTGATAATGATTGAAAGACTGATTGATATTAAAAATCCACTATCCGCTACCATGTCATCTCTTCCTCAAGCACCTAACTATTTAAATGCGTGTGAATGGGAAATAATATTAGATTGCATTCATATTTTAAAACCGTTTGAGATTATGACTGCTGAGTTATCGGGAGAAAATTACGTAACTATTTCTTCTATTATACCATTAATTAGAGGCTTACAACATATTTTAAAAAGTGTACAAATAAAAACTTCTATAGATGAAGCATTTAAAAATACATTAATAGATGTAGCCAATCGGCGATTGGGTCAATTAGAAAAGAATAAGATTGTTGCTAAAGCAACATTTTTGGATCCTAGATTTAAAAAAACTGCTTTTGGATTACTCGAAAATGCTAATAATGTACAAAAGTGGATATCAGACGAACTAACACCGATGATAATATGTGCAAACGATATTAATAATTTCGAAGTAAATAAAATTCAGTCTACAATAACAGTAACAGCATCAACTTCTGATACAAATGATTCAATTTGGGATCATTTTGATAATAAAGTTTCACAAGTTCAATCTTCTTCGAGTCCATCTACAACTTCAACTTTAATTATTCGCCAATATTTAAAAATGCCACTGTTGGATAGGAAAAAAAAATCCATTACATTTCTGGAAGCAGCATAAAAATACCTTTCCAGAGTTATATAAAATGCAACTGAAATATTTATGTATACCGGCTACATCAGTTCCTTCGGAACGAGTATTTTCAAAAACGGGGCAAATAACTAACGACCGTCGAAGCAGATTAACTTCTAAAAATCTAGATTATATAATTTTTTTAAATAGTAATTTAAATTTGTTTAAGTAATTACAATTGTTAAATTTATTTGTGACTATTATTATTTATGTCTAAAATAATTTGTCAGGTTAACGTTTAAATAAAAAAAATAAAAATGAGATTATGATTTATGTACATTTTTATTTCTATTGATAATTTTGACTATTACGAATACCGACTAATAACAAATTTATATTATTCCAAGTTATCATATTAATTGAACATTTTGCGTGATTATTTCGATTGATATCTCGATTATGAAAATATATCAATCACCTACTTTTCGAGTAATAACTAATATTACTAATAGCAATTGAAAATGTCGAGTGATTATTTCGAGTGATAACTCGATTATAATAATATATCGATTACTAATAACACGATTATAGAAATAATTCGATTATGCCCATCACTAGTCTCGGGTGAGGCCTTAAAACCTCCCACTGTCGGACTGCCTGGCTCCACCCATGTATCACCCACCAGTTGTCACAGTTCTCCTTATTACGCCGCCGCATGCGAACATTTAATTAGATATTCTTGATCGGCGTCTCCGTTCGGGTATACTTCGTCGCCGTGGTTAGAACACTTGATCTTCTACTGTCCGGGCAGACGTATGCCGACGAACGTACTTGTCAATAACTAAATTTATTTTTATGCCAGTGAGCACTGTTAGAGAGTCGAAAATCCTCAGAGCCCTAAGTGTTAAACTCATAACCTCAAGTTGTAAGTCTATTTAATATTAATATTATGTACCTGTCAGTAACTACGATTTTTATATTATAATGTAAACCTAATAATAATATATATAATTTGAATGTATATGTAAATCAAATAACTATTATGTTCAATAAAAATTATCTATTGTAATAAGAAACCAGCGTGTTGATTCTATTATACACTTCGTCGTTTTAATCAGTCAGTAAAAAGACAATTGGGTAGCCTTCGGAGTTTAAATTTATTACTAAACAAATAAAAATGATTATAAAATAAAATGATTTAGATTCGTTCCATGCGTAATATCAAAACAAATTTTTTTGTGACCATGACCTGTCAATTTACGCTCCTGATTTTCATCCATGAATACTAATGCAAAACCGCCTACGAACTTAAGTTACTTAAAAAATTTTACTTTTTTCATGATTTCGGGAAAAGTACCTGATGCATTAACATTATCCATCACTCCAATACACAATTAGAATTAAAATGGTTCGGTTGTTAAAAGCATGAACTATGATTTTAGTTCGTGGTTAAGAGACTATATAGTAATTTTTCTTATTAACACCGACGGATTTAATTTTTTATTTTACATAATTCTTTTTTCAACGTTAGTCTTTAATCTGTATGTTTTTAATCCATATTCTTAAATTATGAAAAAGCAGAGTGATACCTACACGTGCGTTTACTTGAAACATTTGTAAAGCCTTTTATTGCCATTCGGGTGAATTATACAATTTACAATATAGAAATATACGCACCAACGATGTTGTTATAATTTATCATACTTAATTGATATGTTGAAAAATTTTTGTAATCTCATCACTAAACGTAAATCTTCATTTTTAACTTATCATATTTCTCTTATCTCTTTATAAACAAAGTGGTAAAGCATATAAAATACTTTCAAAAATGTTTGCATTGCCTTCACGTAAATGCATTTTAGATTTATTAAAGAGGATTCTATTTAAAGCTAGTATAAACAAACGTGTTTTCGAATATCTCAAGACTGCTGTAAGGAAAATCAAACACAAACTTGACCGCTATTGCTCAGTGACTTTTGATGAAATATCACTTTCGGAGTCACTGCAGTATTTAGAACAATATGATAAAGTGATTGAGTTTAAAGATTTTGGTGGTCAAAATCGATCATCCGATTTTGCAGATAAAGCTTTGGTTTTTATGGTCAGAGGATCATGTAAAAAGTTCAAACAGTCAGTTGCATTTTATTTGACTAATGGTAACATGGACAGTACAAGCCTATCAATAATTATCAAAGAAGTCATTGAAGCAGTTCAATCGACAGGACTTAAAGTAGTATCTACCATTTGTGACCAAGCTCCTACAAATGTTACAGCAATTAACCAACTACTCAGCGAAAATTATTTAACAGAATATGAAGAAGGTAGAAGATTTGGTTTTGAAATTGGAACTCAAGAAATTATACCTCTCTATGATGTACCTCATTTGTTGAAAGGTCTAAGAAATAATTTAGTTTCAAAAGATCTTGGTTTTGTATATGATGATAAACAGATGATTAAATTATAGAAACATATCATTCAATTTTATGAACTAAACAAGAACCGAAGTACTGGAGGGGATCGTCTAACTCCTAAACTTACTGATAACCATATATAACCTTAAAAAATGAAAAAAATGAAAGTTTCATGTGCTGCTCATGTGTTTAGTCAAAGAGTTGGTGTCATTATGAAAAGGTTGCCTGTATTGTTGAATACATCAAAAGGTGGCCCTCAAGAGCTCCACCTCGACCTAGGAATCAAAAGACTCTTCACCTGGACCTTCGAAATCGCCGACGTAGCACGGCCAATTATCGGTGCTGATTTTCTACACTACTTCGGTCTGTTTATAGATATTCGCAACAATCGACTCGTCGACCTCTCACAAAACAATTTCGTCGAAGCAGTTTCCGTCACCGACACGCACGACACCACGTTGTGCACTATCGAGCAACCCACGCGATGGACAGCGTTACTGTTCGATTACCCCGAGGTCACGCGAGAATCGCCGGTCCGACCAAGTTCTTACACGACGTCGTACACGAACTTAACACGACCGGTCCACCGCTTTTTTCACGTCCACGCCGACTACCACTCGACCGTCATCGAATAGCACGCGCCGAGTTCGAATTCATGCAACAGAAAGGTATCTGTCCACCATTGTCGAGCGCATGGGCAAGCCCGTTGCTTCTAGTTTCCAAAAAAGACGGCACATTTCGACCATGTGGGGATTACCGTCGACTCAACGCGGTGACCATCGCCGACCGCTACCCTCTTCCGCACTTACACGACTTCACGGCCAATCTCGCCGTGTAATAATTACTTTTTAAAGAAAATATAAAATTTTGGCCTGTTGGTGATAAGCCCAGTACTTATTCTTTAATATCTGGAGTTCATCGAAATGAAGACATTGTGAAAGACAATTTAGATTTCCTTTACTTGAAAAGTAAAATAACCGAAAAAAAAATGTAAGTTATTAAAGAATCAAATTCAAATCAGTTAATTATATGTTGAATTAACACTTAACAGTATTATAATTTGGTATATTAGATATCTTAAGTGTAATGAAACCAAAATTACTAACTGTCAAGCAACTGGGTCAATCACAACAGAGCCTGGAGACAAAATTTTCTTTTAAAGATAACTTCATAGTCATCCCGTTAGGCAATCATGCATTGCAATGAAAGAGCTTAGAAAAATACTTGGTGAAGAATGTATTCAGCATACTGCTCGCTCCTATTCAACAAAAATATTGTACGCTGAAGCAATAGTAAGGTAATTATTTATTATACTATACTTATTTATATAGACGCGGTCCCGCGTAATATCCGTTTGAATTCAAACGGTCTTTAGCGGAAAACCGCGGAATGACTTCTGTATCCAACCACCAGCCAAAGCACGATAACCGGCGTCGAAACGTCTTGACCGCCGACACCGCGAAATTTACAAGTGCACCGTCGGAATATATGCGTAGCACAGAGGTAATCGAATCGGACGCCCTGGTCATGGCGGTGCAAACCGCCACCAAGGACACCGAAGTCGCGATTAAGAACCAGTTATCCCGCTACACCACACATCCGACGTCGAAAAGTGTTAACCGAACATGCCCCGACAAAATTCTAACCCCAGCGGTTGAGCTTAAATTTAGGTCAGGTTTCATAACAACACTACTCGACTCACAGGCACAAAAATCATATGTAAGTCCAAAAATTGCACACACATTTGGTACACCCAAACACGGACAACCCACCCATGTACGAATGGCGGACGGACACGCCACAACAAATGGTTCCGCCACATTCGAAGCCAGAATCGAAGACCTCACGGTCACTTTCATCGACATCCGTTCTGGAAAACTTATACTGTGACATGCTCCTAGGACACCACTTTCTTGTAAACAACGAAGTCACCTGGGACTACACAACCAGCACTATACACTTGGGCGTACACAGGAGAATAACGGCGTGCTAGAAAGGCCGGACTTACACTCCCCGCCCCACTCCAGTTATCGAAAATCTGATAATTCATGGTGACCCACACACACGCGCGCGCGAAAATCACCGAAGTAATTCGTAATTATCCGGACGTTTTCAGCGGTAAGGTAGGTCGCACCAGATTAATCTAACACGACATACTCCTGAAAAACCAAACACCAATAGCGCTCAAACCATATCCCTATCCACACGCGAAACAGGTCACAATCGACACCATGATACGCGATATGGATCAACAGGGACTCGTAAAACCAAGCACCTCCCCATGGGCGGCACCCGTCTTAGCAAAAAAGAAAGACAGCTCGCCCCAACTTTGCATAGATTATAGACGGCTCAATGATGTCACTGAGTCCGACGCTTACCCGATGCCGGACCTCAACACTTTGATACGTCAAATGCGAGGTGCAAAAATTTTCAGCATTTTGGACCTAAAGTCGGGATACGGGCAAGTACCACTTAACCAGAACGCTCGAAAATACACGTCATTTCGAACACGCCAGGGTCTATATCAATTTTGAGTCCTCCTTTTCGGCCTCAAGAACAGCTCCACGACCTTTGTACGGCTTATGAACGAAGTTTTGAGGGGGTACCGGATGAGTTCGTCCGCGTCTATCTAGACGA